GGGCTGCCTTTGTGGATGTCGCAGCAGCTGCCCAGGCCGTGGCGCCTCGTGGGGGCTGAGGGACTCGGGCTGCCCCAGGAGCCCCCAGGCAGAGCGACCGAGAATCGAGCGACTCGCCGCCTTCTGTGCACCGGGCCGGTGGGAGTGAAGCCGGCGGGAATCGATGGAGCTGGGGCGCTGGAGTCAAGGCAAGCTGGCTTCGGCTGCGAGTGTGGCAGTGAGACGACTCGCGTCCCGGTGGCTGCTTCTCTGCGGCAAGTGGGGCTGCGGGGAGCGCCTTCGGCCAGTGCGTCCTCCAGGCGGGGGCGAGGTCCGCTGGCCTGAGTCCGGAGGCCGTGGGGCCTGGGCTGCGGCAGACGCAGCGCCTTGGTGTGGCAAGGGCTGCCACGGCGGCCAGGACCATGTCTGGGGTGCCGTGCCCCTCCCATCCCGCCGCAGCGCCTGCAGGGTTCGTGACGGGCGGGCGGCAGGCGGCGCTCGGCTTTCCAGGGTGTGCAAGGTGCTCCGAGCGGGGGGTGGGGGGGGCTTCAAAGGGGGAGCCGGGCTGGTGCACGGCCCTGCCGCCCCGTGCTCCTGCAGCGCGGCTCCTGCGTGCTGGAGGGCCAGGCGGGAGGCACCCGGCTCTCCCCGCTGTTGCCAACGGGCACCACTGCCATCCCACGCAAAGAAGCATCCCAGTGCGGGGCCTGGGCCTGCCTGCGGAGCCGGAGTCGAGGGCAAGGGCAGGAGGGCGGCGGGCAGGGCCCCATCCTCGGTGCCCGGCACACAAGGCCCTGCGCAGGATGCTCGGGACACCGCCGCAAACGGCGGGGTGCAGGCGGCAGCTCCCACCCTGCTCCGGACAGGTTGGCCAGGGCCGAGCCGCTCCTCCTCAAAGGGCATGTGCCCTGCCCGGCTCGGGCGAGGGCTGCGCGTGCGCAGCTGCTCCTCCCTGGGCGCCGCAGCGGGTTGGGCTTGTGCCCTCGCACAGGCACGTCCCCGCAATGCCTTCGCAGCAGGTGGGTCGCGCCGGGCAGCCCCAGGCCTAGCTCGGCTGCAGGCCTGGCTCTTTCCCAGGGCTGCGCCAGGCTCCGTCCCTGCAGCGGCAGAGGCCAGGCGGTCATGGGGCATCCGTCAGTGTGCCCCTGGCCAGAGGGCCCGATTGGCTCCACGCCCGTGGCAAAACACGAGGTGCCCCCAGGACAGGCCGTCGTACAGGGCAGCCAGCTGAAGCCTGCAGGCAGGCCTCTCCGGCTCAGCCCGTCGGCCAGGTGCCGACGTGGGCATATAAGTGGCTCCTCCGTGGCTACAACCCGATTCCTTATTCCCCCCCCCCCCCGCCCCCTGCAAGTCTCCATATCTGGAGATCTGGCTGCATTGAAAAGGGACTTTCCGGCCACAAGCTCCAGCCCGCATGCGAGGCTGCGCGGAGACGGGAGGGCCACACGGGGTTCGCACGAGGTCTTTGCGGCGTCCTGGATTCCCGGTCTTGGAGCAAGGAAGCTTCAAGCGCCTTCCTCCTTGCTTTGCTGGTGCTGGGCAGAAGGTGCTGGGCAGAGCAGGTGCCACAGGTGGGGATCAGCTTGCCCTGGCAGCCTTCTCCCTTCTATGGGGGAGCCCCGCAAGGAAGGGGTCTGCTGCACAGGAAGCCATCACCAACTTCCAGAGGCCAAAGGCTGCCCCGCAGGGGTCCTCCCAGGCAAAGCTGCACTGCAAGATGGCTGGAGGGGCCGAGATCTCCACGGGGCAGCAGCCCCCAAAGGGGAGGGCTGTGTCAGTGAAGTCACGGCTCGCTCCATGGAAAGGAAGCAGCCACACTGTCTGTGGAAATGGTGAGTCAGTCTGGAAACATTGCACTCATCTTCAAGGCATTGGAGGCACCCCGTGTGAACGCAGAAGAATGCTTGCAACACCTGGCCCAGGAGGCGAGAGAGCGCCCAGAGGGCAGATCTGGTGTCTGCGGAGGCGGCGGCACCTCCTGCCAAGCGGCACCTCTCGGGAAGAATGAGCTGGCCCGAGCGTGCCCTTCGGTGGGCTTGTGCCACGGCTGCTGGGACACACGCCAGGAGGGGGGTCGGGGCGGCCCTGCGGGCAGTCTGGTGGCGGGGTGGACGAGGCCGCCATCATCCGAGGCCGCCTGTCCTGTCCCGCGCTGTGCAGACGCGCGGAGCAGGGGGGCGGGCGCGCCACGGAGGAAGCCCGGCCTGCGTGTCTTCCCAGACTGCGCTGCAGAGGGGCGAAGCACATCAGGGGGCTGGGGCGGGACACCTGCTCCCGGGGGTGCGCTCTGAGCCCAAGCGGGATCCACCCGGGGACCCTTCTGGCAGCAGGGACACGTCAGGCAGGTACGTGCTCCCAGGCCTCGCATGCCGGTGCAGCAGCTGCTGTTGCTAAAGAAAACAGAGGGAGACACACCAGCAAAACAAACTTCCTGGTACATAATTTCCAAGGAAGAGAAAAATTGCCACAGAGTTTAAAAAAGCAGCAGTCGCCAGAGGGCAGAAACCCGGTTGCAGGATTCCTTCCATCCAAGGGGTGGGGACTGAGCGGGGCGCTTCTGGCTCCCGGTTTCCGGAACAGCTGCACTGGGGTGGGCCAGCTGGAGCAACCCAGTGGGGGGGGTGGGGGGAGAAGTGCCAGGGGGCACAACGCAGCCCTGGGAGGGAGCTGGAAGTGGGGGGGGCAGTCTCTTGCTCTGGCCCGGCTCAAAGTCCAGCGCAACCTCCTGGCGGGCAGGGCGGGGAGAGCGGGGCACGCAGGCCGGCAACCCCACTGGGGCAGATGCCGGGTGGCCGCAGCAAGCCCGGGCGGAAGCCTCTGCGGAGAGCGGGGGGCTGGGGGGGTCCTGCTCCTGCAGCCGCGCGTGGTATTTCCCAGGGCTGCCAAGGTGCGCGTGAGGCAGCACGAGGCAAGGCAGAACTGCTGCGGTTCTTGGAGGCGGAGGAGCTCGTCTGCTCCGGGCACAGACCCCCCCATGCCCGGAACCGGTGTGGCAGATGCACAGGACCACCCTGCCTTTGTGGGGAGGGCCCCGGGCCCAGCAAGGTCCCCCCACCCCCGAGTTTGGCTTCTGTTGGAGAAGCCAGAGGCAGACAATCTGCTCTCGCTAAGCTGGGCAGCGGAGCCTGAGGCACGGACCCCCGGAGGACCCTCCACCCACTACTGCGGGGCAGCAGCCCCAGGCCCAAGAACAGCAGGGCCCTCGGCGGGCGGCATGAGTCCTGGGGATGGTCTGCAGCCGGGGAGGCCAGAGGAGCCCTGGGGCAGCCCATGGAGGCGGCGTGGTGCTGGCCGGCTCTACCGCCGGTGGCCAGGGGGCCCGCCACTCCCTCTGTGCCTGGCACGGCCCCCTCCCCATCTGCTGGCCCTCAGCAAAGCAGCAGCCTCTGTCCCGAGAGGGAGGGTGCCTGGGAGATGGGCGGCCGGGTTCTCCCGCTGACCCTTCACTCCGGTGCCCCACGGGCTCTCCAAGCTGCCGCCACCGCGCCAGAGGAGACGGCCCCTGCCCGGGCACCCCCACCCTCACGAGGCGCCCCAGCCCATCGCTGCGGGCCGGGCCCCGTTCCTCCCTGCAGGCGGGCAGACAGAGGTGCAGCGGACAGCGTCTCTAGAAACCCTCGTCTTTATTGGTCCTGCCGCGCACGGCAGCTGCGGCCACGGTGGGAGTTCAGCTCAGCCGGCCGCTCTCTCCAAGGGGGCAGCCAGGCACGGCAGATGCCCGCCGGCATGGGCAGGCGAGGCGGCTGCTGAGCGCCGGAAGGCGGCCCCACTGCCAGGCGGTCCCGTGAAATTGCCAGCCGCTCCGAAGGCTGCTGCCCGTGGCAGGGCGCGCGAGGGGCTGCACCGGCTGGGGAGGGCTCAGCTCAGCCGGCGTGGCCGAACCGGCTGGCCAAGGTGGATGCGGCACCCAGGTGGACTGACTCTTGACCGGGGAGGCCTGGGTCCTCGGGGCGCTGGAAGCGGCTTCAGGGGCACCTCCGTGCGGGATGCAGGCGCATCTCTCGGGGCTGACGGACCGAACAGCCGGGCATGGCCAGGGCTGGGAGGGGCAGCGCTGCTGGCCGAGCTTCTGGCGGGGTGCCATGGGGCAAGTTCTCCAGTGCTGGGGGGGCTGGCCCTGCAAGCCGAGGCGCCTCAGCCCAATCCCGCCTAGCGACTCCACGCGGGGAGGGGCAGCGCTGCCGTCAGGACGGGCGTCTCTTGCTCAAAGGATGCTGCCGCTGTGGTCATCCAAAGGGCTTCCTGGAGGACCTAAAAAGAGGCAGGGAGCAGATCGCCCAGGATGGGCCCAGACGGGTGGGGAAGGGCGGAGCGGGGCCTGCACGGCGCAGCCCCACTGCCCTCCCACCAGTCGCCCGCACAGGGAACCCGGGCGCAAGGCAGGGGGCTGGAGGAAGGGCCGGGCAGGAGCAGCTCCCCCAGGGGTAGCCATCCGAGCCTTGGGGTGGACAAGGGGCAGGACTTGGCAGGAGGCGCCTCGCGGCGCTCCAGGGCAGCCGGGACCGGTGTGTGGGGCAGCCTGCAGCCCCTGCCCCGAAACCCCCAGTGGGGCACTGCCTGCCCCTTGCCCTGGGGGTCGGGACCCGGCCCATCAGGCTCACCTGGCGGCACTGCGTCGGAGTTGGGGCCAGCGCCCTCCTCGGCTGCCCCGGCGATCATCGGCTCAGCCCCGCCAGAGGCGGGAGGAGTGCGGGCGATGGGGCACCGATCCCCGGAGCGCGTCCTCCGCAGGACAGCCTGCAAGTGGTGGGGCCGCATGAGGCGAGGAGCCGTGGGGGCCGGGCTGCACGCCCCGCGGGTGTTGGGGAGTCCCCCCAGCAGGCAGGCAGGCAGGCGACTGGGGGCTCCGGGGAGGAAGGCCGTCCCGCACCCGTGGCAGGGCACGGTGGAGGGGGCTCCTGATCCCCCGCCTCTCCCCAGCGAGGAGCCTTGTGGAAGGGGCGGGGCAGGGCGGGGCGGGGGGAGCAGGGCTGCCCCCCCACATCCGGCCCCAGGCAGCGGGGACGGGGCGGCTCACGTGCCTTCCGGGCGAGGGGGCTGCTGGGGGCCGAGGCGCTGCTGCAGAGGCTGAGGCTGGAGCTGGAGCGGCTGGGTGGCAGCCCCTTGGAGGCAGGGGCCGGCTGGCCGCTTGCCCCCTTGGCCCCCCCGGGGTCTGCGGAGAGGTACTTCTCGTTGATCTTCATGTTCGTCCGTCCTTTCACTGCACCGAGGGAGAGAGACCGCCGAGGGCTGAGCGCAGCCCGTCGCCACCGCAGGCGGGCGACCTGGGAGGCGGGCCAGGCGGGCCCCCAGGGCACCGCCCCCCGGCCGGACGAGGCTCCGGGGACAGTCCGGAGGGGCGCGAAGCCGCAGGGCCGGGCTGGACCCCGCAGCCCTTCTGGCGCGGGGCTGGAGGCCACGGCAGGACAACGGCCACGGGACGCGCCCCGCACTCCGCCTGGCCTGAGGTGCGGGGAGGAGCCCGCAGGCCGGCCCCCACGGAGCAGTGGCTCTCCCCGCTCCGCAGGGCCACGCCATGGCGCCCCCTCCAGCGCGGCCCCCCCACTCGGAAAGGCTGCGGGGACTCGGCTCCTCGGGCCTCGGCGTTCCCGCAACGCTCACCTCTGCAGGGGTCATTCTTCACCAGGAACTCGTCCAGCGCAATCCAGCCACCGCCAACCCGCACCATCAGGGTGCTGCGCAGGATGCGGACCATGCGCAGCTGCTGCGACTCCCCGAACTGCAACAGGGCAGGGAGAAAACCGCTGACCGGCCGCGGGGGCGCGTGGCGCAGGCCCCGGCCTGCTGGGAGTCTGGGTGGCGGGGGGGGGGAGTCTCTGCCGGCGGCCACAGGGAAGCCCTCCCCGCCCTGGGGCCCCGTGCTGCCTTCCGGGTGCCCCTGCCTGGCTCTCCGGGCACTGGATCGGGGCTGGCCAGAGGTGCCTGAGGCCGCTCTGGGCCGGGAGCTCAGGGGGGACGGGGCCCCCGGGCTCCAGAGGCCCAGGCCCGGGGCAGGGCCGGCCAGGGATCCGGGCGAGGCCGCCGGGCAGACACCCACCCTGTAGCGGTTGGCGCTGATCTGCTCCACCTGGAACTGCCTCGCGCAGCTGCACTGGGCCACCTGCCGGTCCACCTGCGTGCCAAGGAGGTGGGTCAGAGGGGCGCCCCTCCGCGTGGGGGGCAGGCGGCTGGCGCTGGGCCAGAAGGCGAGCCGGCTGAGTGGGCTCTTGCGCGTGCCGGGTGGGTGGGGTGCCGGGGAGGCCGCGAGGCCGGGGTTCCAACTCTTCCACCTGGGGGCCTGGACCTGTGTGAGGCACCCCGCTCTGGAGCCGGGCCCCCCGGAGGGCTCTGCTGCCCTGCGCCCGGCCCGCTTCTGCCTTGGGGCTCCCCTCCCGCCGCCTCCACCGGGCGTCTTTCCGCCCGAGCTGCTTTTCGGAAGCCGGATGGGCCCCTCCCCGGCCTCATCTGGACAAACAGAGGCGGCTCTTCGGAGGAGGGATCTGTGAAGAGGCACACACACCCCCTCCCCCCATTTTAGAGCTCCCGCAAAGCAGCATCTGCCAATCGGTGGGGCGCTGCTGTGCCGTGGCGCTGAGCGCCGCGTCTCCGCAGAGCCTCGCACCACGCTGGCCTGCGCCCTCGCACGAGGCAGCCCGGCCCAGGCCCTCCAGCCCACAGCCGTCCGGGCCCCATGCCTGCCCTGCCCTGCCCTGCCCTGCCCTGCCGTGTGCGCCCTGCTTGCGTGCCCACGAGCCCCTAGGTGGCACGCCCCCTCCCCACTCCCTGCTCGGTCCTCGCGGCCCCCTGCGTGCCCGTCCGGCTGGCCCAAACGCACCCGGCGAGGGGCTCCGTGGCTGGAACCGGGATCTCCCGGGCATCTCCCCCCGCAGCACTCGCACATGCTCCCCCCCCAGCACCTCCACCTCCTCCGCTGCCCGGAGCTGGCGGGGGGGGGCTGAGGGCTCCTGGCCCCGGCCTCCAGGCTGTGCTATGGGGGCCCTGGCGGGTGGGCCAAGTCCCCCCCCCATTTTTTTCAAAGCCACTTTTTTAGAGTGGAAAAGCAGCTCCGGAGCGGGGGCGCAGGGGGGCTGTGCTCAGCCAGGCGCCCCCTTCTGCCTCAAGGCAGCCTTGGGAGCAGGCAGCAGGCCGGCGGGCTTGGCTCAGCCGCCCCACGAAACGGCCGGCGGGCACGCATCGGCCCGGCAGCTCTGGGGTGCTGCGCTGCGCACCACGACGGGCTGAGGCTCCGACTGCAAATGGCGGCGCGCGGCGTGGAGAAGCCGTCCGGCCGAGCCCCGTGCTGCTGTGGTTTCTGAAACCCCCCAATGCGGAGGCCAGGGCAGCCTGGCGAGGGGAGGAAGCCCCATGGCTTGTGGCTTCATGTGAGCCTGCCCAGCTGACGGGAGGGTCTGCGGGGCGGCGGAGACGCCGCACCGGCCTCTTCGCACGTCTGGCGGGGTCTGATCAGCGGCTCGGGGCTGGGCGCTGCCGCCGTACCTCGTCCTGAATCCGATCCGTGTCGGCTGTCCTGCGCAGCGCGTCTCGGCTGGGGTGCAGAGCGCTGGCAAATTCGTAGTAGTCGATGAAGCCGTCCCGGTTGTTGTCGAAGATGCCTGCCACAGCACTCATCTCCAGCGTGTTGGTGGGGAATTCTGGGAAGCAGAGCGGAGGATGGGGGCCCACGGCCAGGCACCCCATCAGAGGCGCGAGCCAGGCAGCCCCCGGCAAGCGTCGGCCAGAGCCAGAGCCCCCAGCGTGCGAGCCCAGCCATCTCTCCTGCCCCTGGCGCGCTTGGCCAGAGCCGGCCTCCATGGCAGGAGGAGCTTCGCGGCTGCCGGAGCAGAGGAATCGCTGCCCAGAGAGAGCTGGGCCCTCCCGCACCGGAGACCTCCCAAAAGCCCATGGGAGGCTGCAGTTTAGCGCCCCATAGTAGGAAGGGTTGGACCCGTGGGCCTTCTAGCCCTTCCCACTCGGCTGCTCGGTGGCTCCCCGAGACCGAGGGAAAGCAGAACGGCTTGGTGCCCCCCCCGGGCCCCCAGCACTGCACTCACTGGAGGAGAGGACGCCATCCACGAACTCCTGCTGGGTGATGCGCCCGTCCTGGTCCCTGTCGATGCCGCGAAACACGTCCAGGACCCGCGACTTCCGGTGGCCGATCCACTGCAGGTAGCGCTTCCGCCACACGGTGAAGTCGAAGTGGGAGAACTCCTCCAGCTGTGCGGGCGAGGGGAGAGCGGCCGCTGGGAGGAGGCTCGCCCAGGCAGGCCAGGCGGCGGGGGCCCAGCGCCCTGAGCACGGCTGCCGCACAGCCCCGCGTAGGACGGGGGAGCGGCCCCTGCTCGCTGCTCGGCTCGCTTCGATGGGCAGCTGCCCGCAGGACGGGGCAGCCCTCCGAGCGAAAACGAGTCTCTGGGTGGCCTCGCTTTCCTGACCCACGTGTGGGTCGCCAGAGATGGCGAGAAGGGAGCTGCGGGGGCCAGGCTGGGGCGGGGGCCGGGGCTGGGGCCGCTCTGCTATGCTCCCCGCCCTCATTTCTCGCAGCCCGGTGAGCGGCCTGGGCAGGGAAGGCCTGGGCAGGGTGAGGGCGCTCCTTGGCCCCCGCCTTACCTCCTGGAGGCGCTGCCGGGAGTGCTGCAGGCGGTACTGCCGGTCGAGGGCCGCCAGCCAGAGCTGCTGCCAGCGGTGGGCCAGCTGGGCCAGGGGGGGGCTCTGAGGGGCGGGCCCCTCAAGGGCCGCCGCCAGGTTCCTCGCGGGGAGTCTGCCGGTGCCACGCCGCCCTGGAAGAGGGTCTGGGCTGTGGGAGGGCTGCACGAGCGTGGCGATCCCAGCACCACTCGCAGCCCCCCCCCCCCCCGGGCGCCGGGGCCCCGGGGGCCTGCCCCGGCCCCCCCGCAGCATGGGGGGGCGCAAGCGGCAGCTCGGGGAAGCTGCTCGGCAGCCCCGCCACTCCAGTCCACGCTCCACGCTGTCCACGCGGGTCACGGCACCCCCCACCCAAGCCCCACACTGTTCGATCGAGCGGGATCCCGCCAGGCTCTGTGTGGGTCGCTCCGGCCACACAGGCACTGCCGACTCTCCCCAGCTCAAGGAAAAAAGCAAACGGAAAACGCGCACGTGACTCTGTCTGCTTGGGGGGGGGGGGGCAGGGGAAACTGCGATTCGGTGGGCCTGGTTTCCAAGAAGAGCCGGTCTGCCGCTCAGGGCAGGTCAGGCGGAGGGAGCTGTGGCCCGGCTGGTACGGCCCTGGCAGGCCAGCGAGGGCGCCGTGGGGAGGCAGGGAAGGGCACGGGCAGCCCAGAAAAGGAGCTCCAGAGGAGTGGGCAGAAAAGTGGGCTGGAAGAATAGGTGTGGTGAGTTTTTTAAAAATTAAGACTCAGAGTGAAAACAGGTTTGCAAAGGAAGAAGGAACGTGGAAAGGAGGCGGCTTTTGGAGAGAAAAATGAGCAAGGGGAAAGCCCTTCCCGACGCAGACATGACGGGGGCTGGAAAGGACCCGGGGGCCGGGCAGAGCCCTGCCGCAGAGATGGCGCTGCTGGGAAGCCAACGGGAGGCACTCACGGGAGGCAAGATCGCGGGGCCCCAGGCCCCCCCCCCGGCTCCGGGGGCGCTGGGCGTGTGCAGCCCTTGGCCAGCTTCTCCACCTCCGGCTGCTTGCGGGCCAGCTCCTCCACGAATACCTGGCAGCAGAGGCGACGCTGAGCGGGCAGGGGCCCAGCACCCGGCAACCCCAGGCCTCCCTCCCTGCACCCGGCTGGGATCCGGCTCCTCTTGCTGGCCAGATGTCTTTGCCCGGCTGGGAAACGGGCCAAGAAGAGCCCGCGAGAGCTTGGGAGCACGCAGGGACCCTCTCCGCACACAGAGCCAGTCCTGCGAGCCGAAGGAGGCCGCCGGCACCGTGGCGCATGGCAGTGCGCGCAAGCCAGCCTTGCGCACCCGCGTCGACACTGGCGCCGGTGAGCCTGGGGCAGAGCTGAAGAGGGCCTGAGTCCCGTGCTGATTCGGGAAAGGCGGGTGGGCGCCCGCCCCCTTCACTCGGGGGGTCTCCAACTCACACAGCGGCCCGGCGGAGCACGGGGTCCTTACTGGGGGCACAAGGGAGCTCCCCCCTGCGCCAAGCCCCCTCCTGCCGGGGCAGAGCCGCGCACGCTCAGTCGGGTGCAGGCGGAAGGGGGTGGGCGGGCAGGCAGGCGGCGTCCCCGGGCCCCAGAGAGTCTCTGCCTGGGGCCCGGGAGCCGTGAGGGCCCCACGCCGCGGGGCGGCCCCGTTACCGCGTGCTGCGAGCTGAGCTCTTCCAGCTGCTCGGCATCCTCTGGCAGCGGCTCCCGGTCCCGGAGGCTCAAGGACTCCTCGGCTGCGGCGACCCAGTCGAAGAGCCGGGCCACCTCCTCCTGCTTGGCGGCCAGCGTGGCCATCTGGGCCTGAAGCCGTTCATCCTGCTGCTGGGCCCAGCCGGACACCTGACGGGGCCCACGGGGCAGGGGTCAGGCTCAGCGGGCCTCGGCTGCCCCCCCAGCCCAGCCCAGCCCAGCCCGCCAGCCCCTCAGCCCCCCCCCCCCGGCTCCGGCTGCCAACTGGGCTCACCTCCTGGAAGCGGCTCCGGGCGACTGTGACCCAGGAGCGGATGGTGATGGCCGAGTCCGGATGGCAGCAGCTCAGGATCTCCTCGCCGAGGGAGCAGATGCACTGCAGCTCCAGCTCCTGGCACTGCAAGCTCTCCCGCAGCCCCTGCCGGACGGACGCACGGATGGACTGGGCCCGGAGGATGACGCGGCTCTGCGGCCCACAGGCCCCACGGAGCGCCGCACAGTCGCCGGGCAGGAGGCCCTGCCTCACCTTGAGCCGGCTCTGGCACTCGCGCACGGCCCCCTCGTCCTCCGGCGGGCTCCGGCACGGAAGGGACCGCTCCAGCTCGGACAGGCGGCTCAGGAAGGGATGCAGCAGTGTGTGGAACTCCTCGGCCTGTGAGGCAGGGGCACCTCAGCGTGCGGAGCAGCGTGCCTGGCCCGGGGGCTCGCTTCTCCCGCGAGGGCGACCAGGCCCCCGGGGCCACCCGGCCCTGCCCCCGCCGGACTCCCTGCCCACCGCCCCGCCGACTCGCCTGCCTCAGCGCGGCCTCCAGCCGGTCCCGCCGGGAAACGGAGAGCTGGCTGACGAGCTCCCAGCGCCGGCCCAGTTCTTCCACCTGGCGCTGCAGCCACGGGGACTCCCCCGCGCTGGGGCCTGGGCTGAGGCCGTGCATGGCGTGCCGGAGGGTCTGGATGCAGCTGGCCCGCTGGTCCAACTCCTTCTGGAAGACCTGGGCAGGGAGGGAGCCAGCAGGTCCTGCAGCTGCTGCGATGGGGACAGGAAGGCCCGGGCCCGGGGCTCCTCCGGGGGGCCGCCTCTGCCCCGTTCACGTTACACAGCGTGGGCGGCGGCTGCTGCCGGGAGGGGCCTCCCCGCCCCACACTCCCCACCCCGCCCCGGCCGCGGCAAGGGCCCCGGGGGGGCCGACCTTGTGCTTGTCCAGCAGCAGGGCCACCAGGTCCCTGTCGCCGGCCACAGGGGCTCCCTCCGCCAGCTGCGGCTCCGCCTGGTACAGCCACTCCAGCAGCGTCTGCAGGGCGTCCGTGACGTGGCCACAGAAGAGCAGCCGCTCCTCCAGCTTGCGCTGCCTGCAATGGCAACGGCAAGGCGGGTGGCCGGCGACCGCATGCCCTTGGCGGCCAGGCCGGGCGGGTCCCGGGGGCGGCCCGGCCCGGCCCGGCCCGCCAGCGCAGCCTGCCACGGGGCAGGCCCCACTGAGTCGTGCTCCCGCCTGGGATTGCCGCCGGGGGAGAGCGCGGCCCCCTTGCCCATGGCCGCCCACTCCTCCGGGACGCCGTGCTTGTGCCCCCGGGCAAAGGAAGGGCAGGGGGAGACGGGGCAGAGGTGCCGGGGACACGTCACGGGAGGTGGGCCTGGGGATGGGGCAGCGGCCACAGCCCTGCAGGGGCCCCGAACCCCCACGCAGCGCCTCCCCGCCACACGCACCGCTCGGCGGCCCAGCCGCACACAGCCCCCCAGCGCTCCTTCAGCTCCGCGAGCCCCTCCTGCAGGCGTGGCGCATCGTCGGGGTGCCGGGCCCTCTGGAGGAGGAGGCGCCCGCTCCTCAGGGTCGCCTCATAGGCTGGCCGCTTCGCGCGCAGCCCTCTCTGGAACTCCTGTGGGGCACAAGGGGGCAGCTGTGCGCGAACGCGAGGAGAGCCCCGGGTCGGCCCCAGGCCACAGGGAGTCTCCCCGGGCGTGACCTAAATTCCCACGGCGGCCCACCAGATGCCTCCTCCGCGCAGCACGGGAGGGTGCGAGGTAGGGCAAGCTGGCTTCTGGGACCCCCACCCCCCGATCCAAAGTGCTCCCACCGTTCGCTCCCTCCCCCAGTGAAGAGCAAAGGGCTTCCAACCCTGCCACAAAGAGAGTGCCCGGGAGGGACGCCCCCTTGGGATGCCCCTGCCGCCTCCTCGGTTGGAGATCTGCACCCATGTCCCATGAGGAGGCAGGCGGGGGCGCCTCCCCACAGGGAGCTCGGCCCGTCCGTGGGGCGGGGGGGCGGGGGGGCGGCCACTCTGCACCAGTGTGGCTGCTCCAAGCAGAGCCGGTGGGGCCGGGCGCGGTGGCGCTCCCCCTGCGCAGGGATGCGGTGGCGCTGCTGACCGACAGGCCCGCTCCCCATGGAACGGCCACCCGCAGGGGCACCCCGCCGGAGCTGCGAGCACCTTCCACAGGATGCCGATCCAGCGAGCCCTGCTAGGAACCCGCGGCTCCCAGGACGGCTGGCTGTCCCCAGGGCCGGCCGGAGTGTCAGCGGAGCCTGCCGGACGGTCCCCACCGGGGTCGAGGGCTGCAGCAAACTTGCTCCTTCGCAAGGGGGGAAAAAATCCGCAGCCAGTTCCAGCCGCTCCACTACGGACCAAGCGGCATGGAGGGGCGGCTGACGCTCGCTGAACCCCCCCCCCCCGCCCAAAGCCTTGCCTCCCGGCCCACCCGCTCTCCTGGCTCGCTGCAGCTCTGTCGGAGGGTCGCAGAAGAGCAGCCGGAAGGGCCTGAAAGGGCTCGGTGGGCCTCGGGGGGAGCCTCCCCAGCAGGAAGCTGCCCAGCTGCCCCTCGATGACTGCTGTGCGCTCGCTGCCGCTCCCAGGCCGAGCCCCCCGAGCCCTGCTCTGCAGCCTCGGCGGATCTGCCGGAGGCCTGCTCCACCCGGCCCTCCTCTGGCCCGACGGCTGGGGAAGGCCGGGCTGCCTTGGGTTCGGGGTGGCGCTGTCGAGGAGGGGGGTCTCGGGGAGGGCACGGTTCAGTGGCCCAGGGAGCCGGCATCCAGCTGAACAAGCGGCCCAGCTGAGGAACGCCTGCGTCTCCCGCACACTGGGAGCTCGGCCTTGGGGGGCTACGCGGGCACGGCCTTCCTGCAAGCTCTCCCTGCCCAAGCCCGTCCAGCCGAGCCGCGGGGCTGCATTCGTGGGCCTCCCGGGCAGGCCAGCCTCCAGGGACAAGGGAAGGATGCAGGCCGACAGCCGTGCCTCTCCGGGGGCGTCATGAGTGCATCCTGCACCAGGTGCCGACAGCAACGGCACCCCCGTTCCCCTGGGGAGCTCCACAGGGGACGGCTCGCTGCGGTCGCGGCCGCGTGACGCAGAGGCTGCTCTCCGGCGAGGGGCGGACACCCTTGCCCCGTGGCCAGGCAGCCCCACGGGCTGGGGGCCCGGCGGCCCCTCGCCTGCAGCTGCGCGGACGCCTGCTCACCTTGTGCTCCGCCAGGCGAGCCTTGATCCCCTCCTGGTTCAGCGCCGCCTGGCTGGGGGCCTCGCACGCCAGCCCCGCGTCCTCCAGCCAGTCCCGGAGCAGCTGCCACGAGTCGCTGAACTGGAGGAGCGGGTGCCCCGGTCAACGCCCCAGCATGCCCACCGCCCGGGGGCTGCCCAGCGCACCGGCCGCACCGTGTCCGGCAGGGCAGCCCTGCGCCCCACACTCTTCGGCTGCCCCAAGGCCCGCCAGGTGGGGGCCCTCCAGGCCGGCCCCCGGCTCACGCCTACCTGCTCGGCGCACTTGCGAGCCTCCTCCAGCTCGCCCGCCCTCTCGGCCACGCGCTGGAGCGCCCCGGCCAGCCTCTCCTTGGCGGTCAGCACCAGGCCACGGGCAAGGCTGCCGTCCTGCCCCCGGCCGAAGTCCTCCACGCGGGCCGCCACGGCCTCCAGGCCCGCCAGCGCCTCCTTGTGGGCTTGGCAATCCCGGGCCAGGGCCTGCCGGGACAAGCGGGGCGGGCGGCACTGGAGGACCCCCGCCCAACCAGCGCCCCCCGCACCTCCGAAGCAGCCCCAGGGGCCCCCGCCTGGCGACTCACCCAGCCCGCCCGGGCCCCCTCCGGCCGAACGGGCCGTCACAGGGCGCACTGGGGAGGGGCTGCAAGCCCCTGGCTCGGAGGAAGCCAGCGTGCGGGGCTCAGGCCGGGCCCTGCAGCGGCAGACCAAGGGCCCGTGGCCATCGCTGTGTCCCCCGCCAGGATCTGGGGGTAACTTCCTCGGCCCCCACTCGCACACTCCCTGCGTGGCGCATGCAGACGCACGGGACGCCTCCCCTCCCCAAGGAGCGCGCCTTCCTGCAGGGCTCCAGTGGGGAGCGGCTCCACTGGCCCTCCGCTGACCTGCTGCTCCTGGATCTGGCCGGTGACCCTCTCCAGGACGTAGCTCGGTGGGGGCAGGGCCCCCAGGGCCTCTTCCAGCTGCCCCAGCCCTCCCAGCAGCGCCTGCGCTCCGGCGTGAAGCTCTGCAGCTGCCGTCAGGCCTTCGCTGAGGCGCTCCTGGGGAAGGAAGGGAGACGGTGGCTGCACGCCGCCCCCCGGAAGGCAGCTCTCAGTCGCCCCCCCGCCCCCCCCGTACCTTCTGCTCCCGCAGCTGGCCGGCCACGCTGGCCCACTTCTGCTCCAGCATGCGCAGGCTGTGCTCCAGGCCCGAGGCCCCGGGCAGGGGGCGCGAGCCCAGCAGGCGCCGCAGCTTGTCCCGGGCCGCGTCGTAAGCCGGCTGCTTGGCGTCCATCTCTTCGCACAAGGCCTGTTGGACGGGGAGGTGAGTGCAAGGGCGCATCCGCGGGCGGGCTCCCCAGCCACCCGCCTTGTGCATGGGGGTGCGAGCAGGGAAGGGGGGGCCACGTGAAACGGGAACACGGGCGTCTTTGAGAAGAGCAGCGAGCCGGGGCGCTCTCCAAGGCGATGGCGGAAGAGCAGCCGCGCCCGAAGGCAGCGTTCAGAGACGAGGGAGGCCCGGGAGACTCGGCCCTGCGGAGAAGCAGCTGCCAGCACGTGCCTGGAGATGCCACGGGGGAGCCCTGCCCCACCCGTCCGACACGCCAGGTCCGTGGGCTTTCACGGCTCTGGCGGCTCCTCGCCAAAGCACGTCGCCTGAGCACATGAGGCGAGAGGATGGGCCCCTTACGGGCTTGCAGCTAATCCAAGAAGAGGCCGGCAAGGGCGCGAGTGGAGAGCTCTCGCCACGAAGGAAATGGTGCGCGGGGTGTCCACCAGGCAGGCCAGTGGGGCCGGCAGAAGGGAGCCCCACTCGAGCCCTCTGCCCCACGAAAGAGCTCCCCGCCTCCCAGCGGCGGCACTGCAGCTGCCCCAGGCTTTCCTTGACGCCAGCAGCCGAAGGGGCGCGGTGCTCCTGGGATGCAGCAAGCCCCAGCCGGGTGCGTGGAGCATGGAGGCGCTGAGGAGGTGAGCGTGCGGGAGGGGAGGGGAGGGGAGGGGAGAAGTCCCCCGGGGGGGTTGGAAAAATAGCCTTGTGGGGGATCAGAAAGAGGGGTTTAATTATTTGGGTGCTGTTCTGAGCCCACATCCAGATTGTACACGTGCATCGTTAGCCTGGAGCGCCATTCCAGGCAGAAAGGGCGAGGGTGGGGGTGGGGGTGGGGGTGGGTTGGTTCCCGCACAAATCAGTGAGCCAGTTTGCGGATCGGTTGTTGCAGGGGAGGAGGGATGCCGGAGGGGCGCCTGCCTGGGGGGGGAAGCAGGGTGGGGGGGGCTGCCTGGCCTGAGGAGGGGCTGCCAGCGAGGAGGCCGGGAGGGGCGCCGCAGCTGCCACCACCAGGCCTGGCCGGGAGGGTGCCCGGCGTCGCTGTCACGGGGCTGGCAGGGGGCTCTGTTGGTCCATTCTGGATGCCCCCACAGCCCCTGCGGGGACCCAGCGGGCTCCGGAAAGGGGCGCGCGCCCAGGAAGCGGCTTACCACATGCGCTGCCAGGCTGTCCGTGGCAGCCTCGGCGTGGCCCCAGAGGGGCCGGGAGAAGGAGAGCTGCACCCCCAGCTGCTCCAGCCACTGCAGCAGGCCCGTCGCCTCCCGCGTGATCTCCCGCACCTGCGGGAATGTGGGCCGGAGCGTGGTGAGCGAGGCGGGCAGGGTGCCCCTCTGGCCATGGCAGCTGCCCGGGACGCCCACAGGACGCCCTGCCGGGCGGGACGCAGAGAGGGAAGGCGCGCAAGGATGCCGCCCCCCCGCCCCGGCTCCACGGGCTGCTCCATGCACAGGTGGGAGCGGGCAGGGCAGGGCAGGGCCGCCCGCCTCACTCTGCGCTGCCCGCCTGGAAGGGCCCCGCGCCCGCCGGCATCACCTGGCCCAGGTTGCCCTCCAGCTCCAGCTGGCGGCTCTCCGTCCGGTGCAGCACGAAGTCCCAGCGCTGGCCCAGCTGCTGGAGGCGGCCCTGCAGCCCCTCCGCCGAGTCGCCCGCGCTGGTGAGCAGCACCCTCTGGCCGGCCTCCTGCACGGACCGCACCGTGCGCGCCCGCGACAGGACGTCGTTCCGCAGCACCTGCCGGCGGGGGAGGGTCAGCAGGGCGGGTGGCCGGCCCCGGCCCCGGCCCCGGCCCCGGCCCCTTGGGCGAGCCGCCCCCGCCACCTTGTGCTTGGCCAGCTCGATCTCGCAGCGCTGCAGGTCGAGGCTGAGGTCGGGGGGCCCGCGCAGCCCCTCGGCGGTGTGCAGCAGCCACTGCAGTAGCTCCTCCAGCTGGCTCTGCACCTGGCCCAGCCCCAGCAGGGCCGCCTCCAGGCCGTGCTGCGAGGGAGACAGAAGCAGAGCGAGTCGGAAGGGGCCTCCCGGGCCATCTAGCCTGACCCCCGGCTCCAGCCGGCTCCATTCATGACATGCCCACCGTGTGCACGTCCAGCCTGTCCTCGCACTCCTGCACCGATGGGACCGGGCAGGGGCCGCGTCACCCCGTGGGTGGGGGCAGGAGCCGCTGCTCCAGGGACACCCAAACCCAGGGGCCACCACTGCAGACTCAGTGGGGGGGCAAGGGGCAGTGAGTCGAGCTCCAGGACAGGGACAGGGCTGCCCCCCCACCCCCCATATGGAGCCAAGCAGGAGGAGTTGCTCAGAGGAGCGCCAGGCCGCATGCCAGCCAGACAGGCCCGACACGGGTGCCCGGCCCCAGGAGAGCCCAGTTGGAGCCTAGGCAGGGAAGCCCCCTCCCCAACCTCCGCAGCCCAAGGGGGTGCCCCACAGGGCTCTGTGGTCTCAGGTCGCGCCGGGAAGGCCTCACCTGCCGGTTGACCACCTCTTCCTCCAGGAGGTTCCAGCGGTCCCGCAAGCTGCAGAGCGCGCCGGGGGGGGTCCCGGCCGAGGCCGCCCTGCTGGCAGAGGCTCTCCACATCCACCTTGCGCTGGTGCAGCTCCCGCTTGAAGCCCTGCCGGGCGGGATGGAAAGCAGTGGCCGGGAGCCGGTCTTCCCATCGGCAGCTGCCCAGGCGCCGAGATGCGACTCCTGCAGCACCTCGGCAGGCCGGGAGGGCTCCCCCGGGGCCCTGGGGCCAGCCACTGCCCTTGGGGCGGGCACCCCTCTGCTCCCGGCGTGCCGGGGCGGCGCGCGCAGGCAGCCGCCCGGCACTGTGGGGGCCGACAGCAGGCACCGGCCACTCAGCGTGGCCCACCGGGTTTGGTGTTGCTGGCCCCACCGCTCCGGCTCTGCCCTCTGGTGGCATTTCGCTTGGGGCAGGAACTCCCCCCACCAGGCATCACCCCCCACCCCCGCCGCACCTCCGGAGCCTCCTTGCCTTGAGGTCCAGCAGCTGCTGCTCCAGCACCTCCAGGTCCGCCCCAACCAGGAACCGGCCCGCCACCCGCAGCTCCGCGCTCTCCAGCCAGCCCGCCAGCCTCTGCGGGGGGAGCAGGGGGACAGCTGGGGGAGCCGGCAGGGGGCGCGCCGGCTGGGGGGGCCGGGGAGCAGCACCCAGCCCCAGCGCCCTTGGCCTCCCGCTAGCCCCCCGCCTTGGGCGTATGCCAGGCACGGGCAGCAAGGCCACAGGGGGAGAAGCCGAGGCAGGTGCCCAGGCCCCCAGAACTGCGCCCCCCGAAAGCAAAGCCCCCCACCAGGATGCCTGGGCAGCAGCAGGACCAGTGCCCAGCGCGGAGGAGCCCACGGGCCACCAGCAGCCGCTCCTGCAGGGCCAGGGCGGGCAGCACCATCGGCAGCCGGTGCAGTGGGGTGGGGGGGGCACGGGTCACCCTGCTGGGGCAGACCCCTGCGCCCTGGCCCGGCCGTGACCCCTCACCTCCACGGCCTCCTGGTGGGCGACTGAGGCCTGCAGCTGCTCCTCCAGGCGGTTCTGCCGCTCCGCCCACACCTTGCTCAGGCTGTTCCACAAGACATAGAGCTGCGCAGTGGGGAAGGAGGCGGGCGTGAGGGGGGCAGGGCCCCAAGGGCCCTCCCCCAGGGCACGCCCAGCCGGGCCCGGCTTCCTGCCGAGGTGACCCCGTGCGCCGGGGGAGCCCAGGACTGGCGCTCCTCCTCGGCGCGGCACCAGAGGAGAGCGGCTTGGCGGCCTGCCGGGCTCCAAGGGGGGAGCAGCCCTCCCGGCCCCCCAGGCCCCCCGGTGCCCAGACAGAGGCGCCCCTCCCTTCCTGGGGCCTCCTCCAGGGGGTCTGCCCAGCGCCTCCGCACTCACGTCATCCAGGCCCTTGGCCACGTCCGGCTTGTCCAGGTCCCCGCAGGACGACACCAGCTCCACGCCCAGGGCGCCCAGGGAGTCCAGCTCCGTCTGCACGGTGTCCAGCTCCTCCCGCAGGGCCTGGGGGCGGAGCGGGAGGAGCGCTGGGCTGGGGGCGGCCCTGCCGGGGTCGTGCCCAGAGGCCCCAGTGGCGCGTCGGCTCGGCGGGGGCAGGAGCGCGCGCCCAGCGGGGCAGCGCACGGGCGAGGCCAGGCGTGAGCCGAGCGGCCGTGGGGCACTGCGAGTGGAGCCGGCGTGGGGGGCTCAGGCAGGCCCATGTGCGAAGGGGGCTTGCGAGAAGGACCCGGCCGAGGGAGGCCCCCCTCCACCGCCCCCCGCCATAATCCCCAAGGAGTCACCCCACAAAATTCTGACAGGCGAAGCAGGGGCTTCTTCAGGAACCACCAAGCACAGAATTTGCTCCCACGAGAAGCGGTGGGGGCTGCCAACCTGGGCGGCCTTCCAAGGGGTCGACTGGCTCCTGGAGGTGAACGCAGCCCCCCTGGCGGCTCGCCCTGAGGGTCGCGCCTGACCTCTGCAGCGTCAGAGGCACTGGGCGCCCGCCACGCATCCCGGGCCCCTGCGCACCAGGCCGAGCCGGAGAGCCGCCCGCGGCTGGTGCAGCCCAGGGCTCCGCAGGCACTCCATGCTGCAGGCCCCAAAACCCTGGGACCCTGTGATGGCCCCCCGCAGGGGGGCACATCCCACCCAGCTCCCGGTACCTGCATGGCGCCGAGCCGGGCCTGGATGGCCGGAGCATCGGGGCCGACCTCCTGTGGCTCCAGCAGCACCTGCTGGATGTCGCCCAGCGCGACCGCGAGCTCCGAGAGCCCCTGCCAGAAGGGCTCGGCCAGGGCCAGCAGCCCGCGCAGCCAGGCCTCCCGCTCCTCGCCGAGCTTCCAGAGCGCCTCCCACTGGCCCTGCAGCTGCTCCACCCGCCCGTGGATCGCTGTCGGGAAGCAAAGGCAAGCGGAGGGGTCGGCCCGGGCGGCATCCGCAGGAGCCTGCAGCCTGCCTCGGGCGGTCCGAGCGCCCACAGTGGCAACGAGGCCGGCAGAAACACCAGGCTCCCGGGCAGCAGCGGGGCGGCATGCAGGGAGGACAGCAAGCCTGCCTGGATGCCGGGACATGGCGAGGCGCCCGCTAGCCCCAAAGGCTCGGGCTGGGGCAAGCGGGGGCTCGGTGGAGGAGTCCCCCGCCCCGGGCGGCGGGAAGAGGGGCCCACCTGGCGCTGGAGGCGCACACATACCTTGGCTGGCGCTGGCAGGCACAGTGGCCAGCAGCTCTTCCCGCTGCCCCCGGAGGGTCTCCAGAGTCACTCCCAGCTTCTCCAGTTCTGCCAGCCGGAGGCCATTTTCCCGGATCTGCTCCCGGAGCCAGGCGGCATCTCCCCGCATGGCAGGCGGGGGCTGCATGCGGCTCTGCAGCCTCTCCAGGCACCCGGCCATCAGCTCCACCCGCTCGGACAGCTGCCGGGCACATGCGGGAGGGGAGGGCAGGGCAGTGGGAAGGGGGCTCGGGGGGGGGCAGGCCCCCTGGTGCTGCTACGACGGCCTCAGAGACCTGCCCGATTCCACGCTGCCCGGTGGTGCTCCTTTCCCAGGCCCCTGGCCAGGGCAGCGGGCCCCATGGGGCTCCTCTTGGGGCATCCGCCTCTGGCCCCAGAAAGCCCCCTCGCCCTGGTCTCTGAGAACGAGCGCAGGCCTCGCGTCGCACCAGGCCTCCCCGCCAAAGCCCAGCCCCTGCTGACCAGCCGCGTGCGACGCCTCCCCCCCCCCCCCCCGTCACGGTGCCTCCCCGCCGATCAGCCGGGCACGCCCCCCCAGGAAAAGGCTCTCGTGTGGCCCGCCAGGAGCATAGCGTGCCGGGTGGCCAGGCGGAGTTCCCTGTTTACTTGGCTTGGGCCCATCTCCATGTCTCTAAAGTTTCTAGTCCTTGTGGTTAAAAAGTCCATAAAAAGCCCCACATCCACGTCGAGCGAGAGTCCCGGCCCTTGAGCACTCACAGGCTTCCCGCCTCACTTGCCGCCTGCCCTCCGGTGTCTCTAGCGCGCCCCCTCCTGAGACTCGAGGGCGCCCCGCCACGCCGGCCCCCCTGCCCACTTGCCCTTTGAAACAACGTGTCTGCGCATCCTTTTCGACTCAGCACAGGACACGCCCCAAAGACCCAGCAGCACCGACTGATGAACGCAGAGCAGGCGTGAGGAACCCTTCCGGCCCATGGACAAGAGTCCGGCTCAGGGGGTCTCTGGAGGCCCCAGGCAAAGGCCGGCGGGATAAGACCCCTCGCCCCAGGCAGCTGCGACCGGAAGCGAGACTCGGCTGCACAGCAAGGGCGGAGGGGCTGGGCGCGGCTTGCACGGCGCCCGCCTCTTGGGGCCCCCCCCTTCACCCCCTGCTGGGCAGAGGGGCAGCTGAGGCGGCAGGAGGGGCTGGCAGGGCCAGGCAGCCCCCCGGCCGGGGCCCCGGGGCCGGCCGCTCACCTGGCTGTAGCGAGGGATGGCCTCCTGCAGCACCGCCGCAGCCCGGCGGACGCGCTCCCGGACGCGGCTGTACCGCTCCTCAGCCGCCCGCCAGCCCCGCAGGAAGGGGGCGGCCTCCCCCGGGCTGAGCTCTGCCAGCTGCCCCACCGCGTGCTCCATCCTGCTCATCAGCGGCTTGTGCTCGGCGACGGCCTCCCAGAGAGCCTGCGTGGGGCGGGGGGCGGGCGTGAGAAGCCGGGCCGGGCACCAGGCCGCCCCCCGGGGGCTCCCGCGGCTCACCTGCAGCAGCTCCTGCTGCTCCCGGAAGGCCCCCTGGCCCTCGCCGTCCGGGGGGAGGCTGGCCACGGCCCGCTGCGTCTCGGCCAGCCACGGCTCGAGCTCCTCGTGGGCTTCCGCGTACTGGGCCAGCAGGTGCTGGGCGTGCTCCAGCCGCGTCGTGCGGGCCGAGCTGCGCCGCACGAGGCACTCCACCGACTCCTTCAGGGGCTGGAGCAGCGCCTGCGGGGGACACAGGCAGAGCAGCATGCATGCGGGGCTCCCGGCCACCTCCTACCCCCACCTGGCCAGCGAGGGCCCGTTGGCTGCCTCGAGGCCGAGGCTGCCAGCTGCGCTCCCTGTGGCGCTCGGCAGCAGGTTGCAGCGCTTCCTCCCAGCTCGTCCCCCGGCCTGGCGGGGTCTGCATGGTCTTCACTGCCAGCACTAAGGCAGCAGAGGAATGCGCACTTTCTCGATGCGCAAGGAGACCCGAGCACAGGAGGGGGAGGGGGAGGGGGAGGGGCAGCCCCAGCCGGGAAAAGCGGTGCAGGACCAGGCCCCCACAGTGGCCCCCGCGATGCCACACCGACCGCGGAGGAAGGGCTCGCGACCCTTGCGGGCGCAGTGGGGAAGACGCGGCATGGCTGCGCGGGGGCGCTTGCCTCACCTGGGGGGGCGGCTCCTGCTGCTGCTCCTGCAAGCCGGACGAGCCGAGGCCGAGCAGCCGGCCGGCGATTGCCACAAGCCGCTCCACCAGGCCCTGGTGGTGCAGGATCTCTGCCGACAGCAGCTGAGGAGAGAGAGGGCCACCCTCACGCCACGGGCAGCCTGCCAGGAGATGGGGGGGGCTTGCCCGGGCCGTGTGGGGTGCTGAGCCCCCGTGGGGCAGCTGGGTGGGAGGCCCGCAGGCTGGCCCAGGGGAGATGCCTCCCGCCCCCCATCCAGGCTTCTTCCCTGCACCAACCTTCTGGACATGGAGCTGCGCGCGGACGGCGTGGGCGTCCAGACACACGTGGCCCTGCTCCTCCAGCTGCGCGCTCAGGTGCGAGGCCTTGGCCAGCGCGGATCGCAGGGCCTGTTCAAACTGAGGCAGAAGGGGGGCCTCCTGGGGCACGGTGGGGCACCCTGCACCTCCCCACACCCGCTCTGGGGCAGCTGATGCCCCCGAGCCCACGCAGGCCACCGTGCACGCCTGGGCAGGGTGTGGGGCAGCCTCCTCGCCTCCGGCGGGAGCCCCACTGGCCACGAGGGCTGGGTGCTGGGTGGCCCGGGGGACTCGCTCCCTGGGGCAGGGTGGGGAGCGGCGGCAGGGGGTCCCGCCTGGCGCTACCTTCTCTTGGTCGGCAGCAGCGCCTGGGCCCGGCCCGTCTCCCGGCCGGCCGCCCTGGGGGGGCAGCTCCTTCTCCAGGTGGCCCAGCCACACGGCCAGCTCCTCCTGGGTGGGGTCCAGCCAGCAGGCGGCCCCCGAGGCCTGCTCCGCGTGCTGCTGCATGTCAGCGCTGTTCTGGCCCACGACCAGGAAGCGCGTCCGCAGGGAGTCCATCTTCTCCTGCACCAGCCGGGCTTCTTCCCCTGTGGGAGCGCAGCACGCTCAGCCCCAGGGCCTGACAACACACACACACACACACACACACACACGGACGGACGGACGGGGCTGGGCTGGGCTGGGCTGGGCTGGCGGTGAGAGACCAGAAAGCGATCGTGTGGTTCTGGGAATCCCCTGATCAAAAGCACACTAGGAAAAGGCAAAGTCATTGGAATTCCTTAGAATAAGAACCTTAAACAAAGCTGGCAAAATTGCATTTCCCTCACTAAATTGAGAGTGTGGCCACGCGTGAGATGCTGCAGGTGGGCGTGGACACGACGACTGAGAAAAGGATGCTGTACGAAGGGAAGGAGGGCAGAAAGGAAGCGACCCAAACTGGGAAGGTGTCTGAAGAATCCTGCTTGGAGAGGAATCGGAGGGGGTCTCATTTGGAAAAAGGGTGAACTGGAGGAGTTGAGGGAGGCAGACAAGGTGCAAGACCGTCAGGGGGGCAAACCTGCATTACGAAGCAGCACAGACTCTTTTGGCACCCTGGAAACGGGCCCCTCCAGCACGGGGCAGGGCACATGTCGAGAGACGCTCGGAAGTTGGCAGAGAATGCCAAGGAGAGACGGGGAGCGGGGGGGGGGAGCTGCTCCCCCGGGGGAATTCCCCTGCCCCCCTCGGTCTGCCCAGATCCACGCCCTGGCCCCCTGGCTGAGCTCCAGGGGGCAGCCCGGACAAGAGGGGGCACTTCAGGGGCAGTGCGGGAGGACGTGCCGGGGGCCTCCCTGCACGCCTAGAGGGGCGGCGGAGACAGGCCTCTGCTCTCAGGAGGAGGCCCGGCAAAGGAGGGGCAGCCAGCCCGTGTGTGTGTGCGTGGGGGGGTGCTCGGTGGAAAAGGTGTCCACCTGGGAGGTGGATTGGAGCACCTGCTGGGACCCCTCCCAGCTGAGGCTCGGTTCGGCTTCTCATGGTCTTGCTGAGACACCAGCCCTGCGGAGCAGGCGCAGCACGTGGGCCGGCACAGACCCGAAGCCCTTCCGGAGTGGTGAGGAAGGCCGCCCTGCCTGCTCCATGGAAAAGGGCTGCTGGGGCGCCAGCCCAGGGGAGGAAGGGAGGAAGGCCGGGCTCACACCCACCCCACGGAGGCCGGCGTCCCGCAGCCCTGGAGGGAGCAGGCCAGGCTGACCCGGGCGTGAGAGCTGACCCGGGCTGGGTCGGGTCCTCGCCTGCGGTGGCGATTCCTCCACAGAGGAAGCAGCGAGCAGGTGCGGGATCCGCTGGAGCCGGGCATGTTGCCCCCGCGGGTGCTCCTGTGGAGCCGGGGCAGCTGGGCCTCCGCGCCGCTGGGGCTCCCTGCACCCCTCCCTGTGACAGGCCGGGCAGAGACCACCCTCCCGGGACCGCTGTGCTGCTCTGGCTCAGCCCGGAGCTTGTGGCCATCCAGCACGGAGCCCCCAGCC